GACATTAAAAATATGACGAATGTCTTTTTTTCATTATTTTTTATTTTTTATATCTAATAAATATTTTTTAGGATTTCAAATTCTTTTTTGTCTTATAGATACTAATGGTGTGTTATGTATCAAGTTATTGTCTTACTTTTAATCTTTTTTTTATCATTTTTTATTTACTTTTTCTTTTTAAATATTTATAAATTTTTATAATATTTTACCTTGATATAGGTTGAATGGGTATTTGATCATTTTGTTTTCTAATAGTATATCTTGAGACGGTTAAGATTTTGAAAGAGAAAAAAGGCTTCGGTCGGAAGTATAGTTATGGTGTTCTGTCTTTAGCTATTTCAAGATATATATAAATTTTATATTTTATTATTTATTTAATTTTATAGATATATACACATATTTTATTAATAAAATTATTTTTTACTTTAATTTAATAAATTAATATTTTAAACTCAATATAAATGTCAACGTAAGAATCTCACAAAGTTTTTTTTCTCATTTTTAATTTTTAATTTTTTTTTTAATTTTTGGTATTTATTTTTTATCGGATAAATTTATAAAAAATAAGACCAATTAAGATATTCATATGTCTTTCTCATTTGTTTTTTATCTTTTATCCTTTTTTTTGTTTTTAATTAAATCAATTTTATAAAAAAAATGATGAAGAGAGATTAAAAAAATTACCCGCATCAATGTGCAAATATTTTTTTAATCATTATAAAAATATTTAATTAAGTTTGGTATTACAAATAGAGTGACATCAATTCAGTCAAATAAAATATCAAAAATTAAAAATAAAATAATGATACATATATCTTTTTATTTATAAAACATATATTTTTTATTTCACATCACAAAACTTGTTTTCTTTCTTGTAGAATATAATTACTATTTTTTACCAACAGTGTAAGTGTGCCAATATTTAATTTAATTAGTGAATTTACTTAAAAATAAATTAAAATAAAAATAATAAATAAATTTAGGTGTATTTATGTTTGTTTATTTGTTTTTACAAAAACACATGATTTTTTTATAAAACTACCCACTCTTAAAAATACGCTAATATCACAATTTTGTTATTGTAACTTCCTCATCTCTTTTAAAACAAATTTTTTTTTTTTTTCAAAACACCCACAGTTGAAAAAGCAAGTAAAAGCCAACAAAATTATTTTATCAGATATAAAATTAAAGACTTTGTCATTTTTTGTGAACATAATAATTACTCACTTTGAAAAAAAATTCCCACTCACTTTTTTTAACATTTTATTTTTTTAACACAATTTTTTTAAAAAAATAATCTTTTTTACCCACATAGTGAATCTGTCAAAATCAAGCATTATAAATGAAACTTAAGCTTGCAGTTGTTTTTTTGGCACTGTTTGCTTCTCATTGAGTTATAATAGTAGATCATTTATAAAAGAAAAAATTTTTAATGACTGCTTCTTATCACTAAGTAAGGTGTTGTTTTAACATAATAAAGGATTTTTTTTTGTTTTTGGGTAACAATAGAGGATATTTGCTTTGGCCACAATGATAGTAGCCAGTAGCCAGTAGCCAGCAGATGATTAAAAAAGAGCAACCATTTTATTATAAATTTTTATCAATGCCATTAAATTCGATGGCATACAAAAATGTTATTTAAAATAATATTATTTTAATTCATATTCATAACAAAATTTACTTATAAAAACCATATTTATGTTCAAAAGCCATGTTTGTGTCAATTCAAAATTACACTTTAAATAACTGATTCAAAGTAATAATTTTAATTTGCTTCTTGAACAAGTAATACTTGCCTACGCAACTTAAATTTAATTTAGCTTGATGATTATTATATACTTGAAGATCCTACCAATCGAGTTTGAAATTTTAACTATTTCGTTTTTATTGGTTAAATTGGTATTTGGACCAAAAAAAAAAAAAAACCAGTTTAAGTTAATCGGGAATTTGCTAATAGTTGTGTTTAGAGTGTTAGGTTTCATTTTAATAATTAGAATTTAATTTTTGATGATCTTAAATATAAAAAAAAAAATAAAATTTACTTCAAAAATAAAAAGGTAAAAAATAATCACCTCCTGATTTTATGATAAATAATTTATCAATTCTAAAAAATAAAATTTTAATTATGATAATTTAATAATTATGGATATATATAGAACAAATTCTACATTTTTACAAGAACATCACTTTCTAGTATATATACATACATATATATATATATATATATGTATGTATGTATCTCAAACACGTGCAGTGGTGTCAAGTGCCAACCAGTGCCCTGGAGATGGAGTCTCCAAAAAAGCATGAGACGATAAAAAAACTAGACGTATTTATTTTGATCTTAAATAAATTAATTCATTATTTTCAAAAGAAAGTCGAAATGAAAAAAAAAAACAAAAAAAAAAAAAGGAACAGACGAAAGTAAGACCTTTGGCTTTAAACTAATCCTACCACGGACTCCCGCTTAATCAGGGAAAACTTGGGACATGTTCTTTTGGGAAGAGTCGCCCAAGGCTTCGCAGCCAGGCAATGAAGATCTCCATTTCGTTTGTATCTTCTATACTGTATATAAAATGTAAATCACATCAACTCAATTAAGAAATTCACATAAAATCAACTTTACTAATAATAATATTTAATTCACATAAAACTCAATGATGTAAGATATTTAATTTTAAATTTTTTGCTTTTTTTTCCTTTCTTTTTCTCATTCTTTTTTTTATTTTTTATTTTGAGGTGCTCTAAATACATCACAAAAATTTTTCTATATACCTCTAAATTTTTTTTATAAAAAAAAGCCACATATCAAATATCAATTTTAATTTTTAATAAATGATAATAATATCCTTAATAGCTTATACAACCAAAAATTATCTTATATTTCTCGAAAATAAATTTTCGAGAATTATATTGTATTCTCAAAAATACATTTTCGATAAAAACATATATAATTCTTGTAAATGGATTATCAAAAATAAAATATAACTCTAAAAAATTCATTTTTAAAAATTTTTTGAGACCTCAAAAATGAATTTTCGAGAATCATCTGTATTTTTGAAAATCCGTTTATGAGAAAACATAATTTTAAAAAATATATATTTAATTATAATTTTTTAAAATATTATTAAATATATTTTTAATTATAAACTTTTGATAACGAAAAAAAAAATGATCTCTAATTTTTGGGCCATTGAAAAATGTCATCAGCTGACTAAAAAATTTAATAGTAAAAACTAATGGTCAAAAGATTAGATACTATCAAATTTGTCAATTTACTAGTAACATTGTTAGCGTCAATATTCTATAAGGTGTTTAAGTTCAAATTAACATGTATGAACACACATAAGTCATTGATGTATCCATTCTTACTTGATCATATATATGAATAGAAGAAATATGATAGTTCTCAAACATGTGCGGGCATAAAAATGATTTTGTCTTAAGCTTAAAAAATCAAAACTTTATTTTGCCTATGCAAAATCAGAAAACCAAAAAAATAAGAAAATGGTATTCTCGATTTTTTATAAGCACAAAAGAAATAACAAATTTATACCATGTATATTGAGAACATCGATTTCAGTTCTATTTGCATATATGATCAAGTAAATGAGTTTATAGGTGCATGATTAAAATTTTTCAATGATTAAAAGTGAAATTAAGCTTTTTGAAAATAGAGATTTGAGAAGTCTTGATGCTTATCAAAAATAGATATCCGAAAAATTTTTAAAAAATGAAAATCCAAGAAATTTTGATGTTTATCGAAAAATGAGTATTTGAGAATTTTAAAATTTTTTGGATATCCATTTATGAGAAATTTTAAAATTTTTTGGATATTCATTTATAAGAAATTCGATTTCAAAAAGTGAAAAAAAAAAAGAAAAAAAGATAAGAATGAAAAATAAAAAATAAGGGATGGAGTGTATTTAATAAAAATAAAAAAAATTAAAATTTGAGTTTGAAGTATATATAAAAATAGAATATATATATATATATATAACATTAAATAGGATAATATATAGAATTCCCTTTTAATTTTTCTTTCTAATCTAAACTTTCTTGGAATCCCCCAATCAAGCCTATGTAAAAAAAATCCTAACCACAAAACATCCCTTAGCTTTTTTGTTCTGATATCTCCCCTCCTAGTAATTTCCACATAAATATGCTTTCATTTTGACATTTTAACAAGAAACACAAAACCCCCTAATTCATCAAAACGATTAAAACACAAAGCTAGAAACTCCGAACCTTCCAAGTTACTCATGCTCCCAGAATTTTACCAATAAAAAGTTACTATCATATTTCTATTCTTGTAACTTCTTTATCTCATTTAAAATAATTATTTTTTATTCAAAACATCCCATAGTGGGTACTAAATTCTAAGCTAGTAATAATAAGTTTATGCCCCTATGCACTATCCTCACAAAATTTAGAAAATAAATACATTAATTATATATATTTTAATACAATCAAAGGTGTCTTAATCTTAAATTTTATCTAAATTAAATATCCGTGAACGATCTCAATGATGCATTCTCTTATATTAATATAGTATATCAAGATTTTATTCTTGAGATTGAATCCAATCATAATATTTTTTATAAATATATTTTAATTAGTATTAATATCAAATTTATTATTTTAAGAATCAATATTTGATATATTATTAATATAAAGTTTTAATTACATAAATAGTATTAAAAGATAATATATATTTTATTTTATAATTAAATTTATATTTTTTTAAATATATCTTAAAAGACATGTATTATCTTTTACTTTCATTTGTATAATTAAAATTTGACATTAACAATATATTAAATATTAATTCTTATTTTTAATATCGAATTTAATTAAATTTTAACAAATGCTATAAATTTGATTAAACTGCTTTACTCAAAGGCTTTATCAAATTGTGATGAAAAATGATTTAGGAATGACATATGATTGAAAAAGTCAAATTCCGGCACTAATTATGGAAGAGAATGAATAAGGAATGGATGGACTGAGATTTTTTAAAAGGGAAGACCTGAAAACTAAGCCCAAAGTAGAACATGAACATTTTTACCAACCGCTCCTCAGTGCCAAGCACTCCAAGGGCAACTGGGAATGGGATTGGATTGGTTCAGACTTCAGTTACATATAAAAATGGCTCAATCTTATTTTGTACCGGCCTTAAATTTAAATTTACCACAAAACCCCAGACACATAATCATAATTAAAAACTAAAGGGATTCCCCTAAGCAGTGTTGAGGCGGTGCTTTGCCGTCAAAACAAAATCCAAAAGGCCCTCGCCGGAAAAATCCACCAAAGCCAACTTCTCCCATCCAATTTCTATGGACGATAGCTTTAAACTCCGAGTGGAGAAAATCTTCGGATCGCTCCAATCTTCATCTCTGCAGCAGCAGCAGCAGCGCCCCCCTCTCTGGTCCCTCACAGGCGACGAGGTCGAGAGGAGAGAATGGAGGCGAGAATCCTCCACCAATCGAGAGGATACGCTGTGTTCGTCATTGTTTGATGAGTTCTTGAAGGACGAAAGAAAGTACAGGAGCGGGAGGCGTAAACAACTGGAGGATGATCTCGATAACGATGGAGATTCTAGTCATTCGCGTGGTAGAAGAATCGACGGTGATGGAGAGGAGTGGGAGATCAGATCTTGTCTTGGAATGGATTCCACTCTCGACAATGAGGTATCCCGTATATGGTGTTTTTGTTTCTTTTTTTTTTTTTTCTTTGGTGATTCATTAATTTTGATTTTAATTGTTACTTGTACGGATGATTATATGGTGGTTTTGTTTCAGAAGCTTTGATTCTCAGGGACGGATAAGTTTAACTTTTTAACGTTATGAGTGGTCTTATAAGCTTCTTGGCCGGGCAGCTGGACCATGTGAACATTTATTACTCGTTGTAATGACTGGGACATTAGGCTGTTATTGGATGTAAGGTGAATGAATATGTATTTGTTATAAACTCTTGACACATTGATAAACTTCTAATTTGTGTTCATAAAAGGTGTAACCAATAGTCAAAGATGATTTGAAGGAATCAGTTTAATTATGGTAAAAGAAGAACCTGTCAGCCTTTACCATATTTGTATTGAATGAAGGCATTCTGGAATAGTTGTGAGGATGCTTCAAACTTCTTAGTATGATGCTTTTACTGTCTTGAATCAGCTATAATACAGTAGGAGTTAGGCTGGCGTCAGTGATTCTCTAATTAATTACTTTCTGTGTTTCAGTGGGTTTAATATGCTTCCTGAATCCTGAATATCTTTAAATTTATAACAATAAATTTAACTGTACATGCTAAGTAAAAAAGTAGGAGTATTAGTTAACTGTAGAAGAGGACTTTCAGATTTGTTTAATATTCGTTGTTTAAGAGATTGATGAATATTTCATATACAAAGTGCCTGTCTTTCCTTTCTGTCTTCAGGAGACATACCAACTGTTGCTTTTCTCTTTCAATCTGTTGACAGTAGAGCTGATGTTTGTTTGCTAATTGCCACAGGAAGAGGAAGATGAATATGACAAAGTGGCCTCAGGCAGAGAAAATGCTGGTGAACGCCTTTATATGAGTGACATTGCTGATCATGGGTCTTTTTTGAATTCTCATAATGTGCTTCATAGTGCATTAAATCATACCAGTAACAAGGACCTACGGGCAAGTTGCATGGCAGCAAGAATCAGGCTGAAAGAAGACGATGAAGCAGCTTGGAAGCTCAATTATCGTGATAGGTCTAATGCAGAGATTAGGGAATCAGATGTCAAGGAATCGGATAATGGTTCCCAATTGAGGTCTATATTAAAAAGGAAAGACAACAGTATAGGTTTCAAGCCACAAAAGCATGTCAGGTTTGAGTCTGCTTATAAAAATGACTTGGAAGAGCCATTTGAAAAGTTTGAGGATTATCTAACAGCCACCTTGCCAATGAATTTTCAAGATTCAAATGGTGAATCTGTACCCGCTGAAAATGCTCATGCAGTTCCAGATTATATACTAAATCCTTCTAGGTATACACGCTACAGTTTTGATTCATCAAATAAAGTTGATGAAGAATCCAATGCTCAAGCTTTTATGTACTTGCTTAAGCGTGTTCCAAATTCAAAATCTACAGAATCATTGTCAGACCTGGAGGATGCACCACGTGATCTTCCAAAGTCGGTGACTTTTATCCCAAAGAGGAAATTGGGCAATGTTAAACTAGGAAGCACTGGAGGTGAGATCAAGGAGAAGGAAGATGCATGTAAGAAGTTGTTGCACCCAACACGGCTCCCTGTGGGCATTGCGGCTGGCACAAACCAGCATAGTAAAGATGGTGCAGCAGAGGATGATGAAGCAGAAACAAGTGCAGCAGATAGTACTGCTGTTATCCAGAAAGGTGGTCGCAGCTATCGAGTAAAATCACAGCCGTATGACTCCGAATCCGAATCTGATGTATAATGTCGACAAGAACAGCTCTTAACCGTTCAAGGGTTTTTAAGTTTTTATTGTTTCTTCCGAGTTTTGTGTTTTTTCCAGTGTTCAGTTATGCAGGTTAGCAGAATGATGGAAAGTTAGTGTTCTGTTATACAGGTTAGCAGATTGATGGTAAGTAAATGTATAAGCCTGCCAAATGTTAAATGAACATTTTCATTTTAAATCTCTTTTTTATTTCACATGATTTATGTCAGTGGTCTGCAATGGGATTAAGTTTGGTGCTAATCGCATATAGAGCCTGTAACCATATGGGTAGCTTACAGGAATCAAGTTGATTTCAGTAACGATTAGGTCAACAACTTAAACTCTTATTATTAAGTGGATTAAGTCAAATTCAAATATTTTAATATTTGATTTGACAAGTTTGCACGATTAATTAAGTTTTTATTTTTTAAATATATTTTAATGTATATATTAAGTAAATAATGAAAATATAATGTAAATATTTATTTTTATAATTTTAATTAGTTTAATTGATTTGAGTTCTAGTTGTTCAAGTAAATTATGGGCCGAGTTAAGTGTGAAAAAACAAAATTCAATCGAACTTGAATCGAACTTTAATCTTTGAGTTTTTATTTGAACTCAAACCTGGTATTAGATTAATTTAATTTAATAGATTATTAAATTAACATAATTTTTATCTTCATCTCTTTCCATCTTTTCTGCCGAGTAAAGTTTTGGTTTTGCGCAAAAACTTTTGGGAGCCATTAATCATACACCAAGCTACAAAGCATGTACTTAATCTTTCACTGCCTCAGCTCAAAGAGCATTTTATTTGGAATTTTTTTGTTATAAATTTGTAATTATTTAATTACAATAAAAAATTATGTAAAAGGTCATAAGTGATTAGTTAATTTTAGTAGAATAATTGCATCTGATTTGGTCCCTCAAAACTGATACATGGAGTGGCCAAAGATCTTCGATGCAACACTTCCATGCACTTTCCAATGTCATAGCAAGCAAGCAGGCAGGTAACAGAAAAAGCCTTAAAAAAAACGTTTAAATGAGAGGCAGAAAAAGTAATGACTAATTTATGTTGCTCTGTAAATCAATAGCCTGTACAATAAGCCAAATGGTCCAAAATGTTAGAAAGGAAAAAACAAAAATGATATAATCTCATAGGGAGAAAGAGACGTATAACAGACAAGAAAGCAGAAATGTTGTATGGATCTCAAAATTCTAAACTTATTTATTGGTGTATGGTAGAAAGCAAATAAGAATATGTAGGGGAAAAATAAAAGGAAAAATGCGTATGAAACTGTCTTCCCTGACTCATGAGACAAATGAGCAAGAATTGATCCGTAAATTCTTCAACTTCAGCTACAATCTATCGAACCTGCAGAGTAGTACTTGTTTATGTACAACATGTCATGATCATGATCGCTCTGAGCTATAACTTATCTGCTATTCTCCCTAGAGCGTCTGCAAGCTTGTTAAGAACAGCAACTAAGTTATCAGTGTGGTCTTTCCGTTGCTCCCTATCCTGTTGGAAATTGGTGTTTTGAGCTTCAAGTTGAGCAACCAACATTTTACCATTCCTTTCTAAGACATCAATCAAGTGATACTGCAGACTGCTCATTTCCTCATCTCCATCGATTGCCGTCCTTTTCCTCTTCCTTGCTTCTTGAGAAGCAGAACCTACCTCAGGATTCGAGGTTGGACGTTTCTCATTTGTTGTACCTGCATGCCAACTGATTATTTCAACAGGGTATGCTTTGCCATCCAGCAATAAGCTATTCTATTATAGGTGCCGCTACTTAAACAGCATGTTTTAGACCCTTTTTGTTTAGAGACAATTAAAATGGCAAGTCACACTTACTTAAAAAGGAGTCATCACTTATAATTCAGCTCAGGTACAGTATTTTTCAATAACCCTAACGATTTTTGTCTAAATATAGTTTAAATTTTGTAGCATAAATGAAACTGATACAAATTGAATTGAAGGTGTTGTTTCAAGTTGGTCACTTCAAAAAAAAAAAAAACAAACTAGGGCATGTTTCATTAAGACATGGTTGAATCTCAAATTATAGACCAAGGGCTATTGGAGCATTGAAGTTGAAATTGATTTGTACATTTAAAAATTACTTTTGACCCAACCCCAATGCTAAACAAAAGAAAAAAAAATTTATGGTTTTTCGATTTAAAAATCTAATTTACGAACCCAAACCAAAAAGCTAGTAAAGAGGTCCTTTTGCTATCTATACAGGTATGTTGGTGGATTTGGGATTTTGGTTGTAGGAATATCATCAACGAATCTGATTCAATGTTAGCTGTTAAGAAAATCTTGCAATCACTTAATGACAAAGACCCGCTCTATCAAGTGATTCAGGAGTGCCAAAGTTTGATGAGAAGGGATTGGAAATGTTCTTTAAAACATGTATAGAGAAGCGAATTTATGTGCTGATATTTTAGCGAGCTTGGCTCAAGACAGGGAATTTGGAATTCAGTTGCTTCATTCTCCTCCAGATGGTTTACTTAAAAGTTTTTACAGGATGATCTTATAAATTTGTCTAAGCCACAGTGCCCGGGTGGTGTAAAGTGGGCAACCACTCTTTAGTACCAAAAAAAAAAAAAAAAAAAAGAGGTCCTTTTGCTTGAACCGCAATTTTTTGAGTAAAATGACTTTATTATCCTCAATCTCTAAACTTTTATTATTTTAAGCATATCTTTTTGAACATTTTAATTCACCACAGCACTTTTTCACAGCAATGCTAATTCTTAAACCATATTTTTCCCACAACACTTTTTACCAGCCGCAACAATAATACTGAAGTAGGTCTAAGCAATTGAGCCATAAAAAGATATTTGCCCCCTTAAAATTCAGAAATGCTCTAGGTTGAAACAACAAAATAAAAAACAAAGCTCTAGGTCTAAGCAACTGATCATTTTCTAGTTTTCTTCCTCCATTTACAAGAATCAGTTAATGTGACAAAACATTCCTACGTTAGGAACTATAACATGTTAGAAACAACAGTAGCAGTACCAGATTTGAACAATTCCTGATGTTGAAAACGTCTTTACTAAAAATAAAGACAAAGCTTGAAAACAGCACAGCACAGCACATTAATTGAGATTGGCAAAGTGATATTACCTTGACTCTGGTTCCCTATCCCTCCAAGAGCTGGCTGTGGCTGATATTGCTTCTCTGAAAGCATAAACGGTGAGCAAACAAAACATATATCAGCATTAATAGACCAATAATAATGTTTTCCTCCTTTTTTTGCGAAAGATCCAGAGGAAAAGGAAAATGTCCCAACCTAAAAAAAAAAAAAACACAGAGACGGCCTTATGATAGAGACTAAAGATTCCTAAAAAAAAGAAAGAAGAAAAGGCTGAAAAGAGTTGCCAACAGTGCCCAAACACCTCCACTCAAAAACAAACCTTTTAGGAAAAAAAAAAAAACAACCATTACATTGAAATCCCGATCAAATTAGTATATTTTATTAGAATAAAAGCAAAAAAGAATTAAAAGTTTTAATGGAATTATTCAATTTTGATTACTCAATAAAAATTCATTGCCAAAAGTATTCTACTACTACTAGTAGTATAGAACAACTGATAAATCTCATAACCGTTTACACTATGCCAAGGTTACCTGAAATAGGGATAGGAGCTGGAACTGCCTTCCCAGCAGCAGCTGCCACCGATGGCTCAATCTTTTCCGGGCTCCCAGCAGCATCATCTTGCTCAAAGTCCGAAAACAGGCCATCCTCGGCTGCCGCGCTCCGTCCACTATCAAAAACAGCCTCAGCATCCTCCACCACGTCCTGGGCCGGGGGAGTTGGAGCTAAAGCCAGAGCCAAGCCTGGAGCCGTTGCAGAAGCCGGGACTGTGGTGGCGCCGCCATCGAGAATATCGTAAACTTCCTTGTCGAAGAACCCTGGCAACTTCCTCTCCCTCCGTAAATCATTCCTCATAACCCAAAATGACTCAGTTTCTTCCCCTATGTTATTTTCCCATTCCTTGATCTTCTTAAAATCACCCGCCAAATTACTCCACCTTTTCCGGCACTGCACCGGTCCCCGGTTCACGCCATGCCTCTTACAGTAAGAAGAAACCGATGCCCACTTGGGCTCCACTTGGACAGACCCGAAAGCCAGGCCCGCTGCCCGTCCACGCCTGACTCGGTTCTCCGCCACTCTTTTCCCTTGTATGAGTACGAGAATTTCCTGCCTCGTCCATCGAGGAAGCCTCGGAGCTTTGCTGACGTCATCACCGCCATCAACAGAGGCCGGACGGAATTCAACGCCGTTAGTGGAGGCGTTGACAGGGTCTATCAGGCCGTCAACTGGGCCTGGAGTCGCAGCCAAATTTAACTGCTCCAAGGCCATAGAAATGGAAGGATTGATAAAATCTTTTTTACCGTAATTATTATTTTTAATCCGAAAACGCACGTGACAGTGAGAATTAAGAGGTGGTGGAGAAGTAACGGACTTTTATTGAGAAGAGTCCGTTACGGCGTTTACAGGGGAGAGTTATCACTCATATATTTTTTAAAAGGGCTAAAGAAAACGAGAGAAAAGAGAGAAAGGAGAGGGAATTTGAAGGAGAGAGAGAGAGAGAGAGTGGTGGCTTTGTTGAGTTAGTTTTACAACTACTATTCAGCTATTCACCCTTTAACCCTAATGAATGGCTTGTTTTGGAATAATCAATTAATTAATTAATTAGGGGGTAATGGGTCTTTGATTATAACTTAAAGCACCAAAATCAATCAATTAGACACAGAGAGAGAGAGAGAGAGAGCAAAGGGTTATTTTCTGGTTTTGGACAGCCAAATCTTTAAAGCCCACTCTCATATCTCTCAAGAAAATAAAGAGCTCAATATAAGGTCATTTTCTTAGCGTAGAATAAGGCATTAAAAGCGTTTAGGGCTGCCTTATTCCTCACCTCATATCTTTTTTCCATGTCAATTATTTACGTATTTTGCCCCCCCAAACTTGGGTCAATACTTTGGAAAAAAAAAATAAAAATTGGGCCAATACCTCTATTGTATTGTAAACCATTTTTGTCCTATTTTGTGTGCTTATTTGCATTAATCATATAAATTTTGTTTTTTTTCTTCCCCTATCGATAAGGGCACCCTATCCTTAATTCTTGTCCTTCCACCACTAAAGAAAATTTTGGCATGGACTCTTCTTTTCTTTATGTCCAATCTACTCTTATCTTGATTGAATAATTTTGCCCTAATCTTCCTCACTTAATGGCTAATCCTAATGGATGGCCCCCCTCCATTAAAGCCACCTTTTTTTTCCCTCTTGTGTTGCTCGGTGTTTGGAAAAATAATGAACCAAGGGTACAAGTGGCAAAATCCCCTTCCCTTCCCTTTAAAAAAAGTAAAATATTTTATATCAGCACCCTTGTTTTCAATAATCCCTCTCTAATCGAATCATTAGTCCTTACGTTCCAATCAAGAAACATACTTAACAAATATATAATTTATTTTTTTTAAAAATAAAAAGCATAAGCATTTGGTCCACGAGGATGAGAGGGGGGGTTAGTAGCAAGTCACATTCTCTATGTGATAACAGTGGGGGCCAAGGTTCCCTCTCCCCTCCCAAATTTGGTGCTCTTAGACGATACGGAGGGGCTACTCCCCTACGGACCTATTTCCTGTTACCCAACTTTTCTTTCTACTTCTACTTCTACCAAAGTCTTATTCGATAAATAGTGAAGGTCTTGACAATTTGAGGATGTCAATAAAACGTCACAAATGCATACAGTTGCCGATCTTCCGATTGTAAATAAGGGGTCAAATTAGGATAATTGTCCTTATACTTAATTTAAAATTTAATTATTTAATTATAATTTATAAAAATAAAATTCACTAATTTTGTTAAATTTTTATTATCAATAATACTAACGTGACCATTAATTTTATGATGCAAACATTGATTTTGCTAATTTGGTATTAACTTTACTAACATGACAATATACATGAATAAATTCGATAATATTAATCAAATTAATAATGTGATTAATTACTCTCCATTAATTTTGCTAACGTAACATCTTAAAATTAAAAAGTATCAAAAATTAAAAAATAAAAAAAGTAAAAATTTGATTTTTTTAGTTTTTTTTTAATTTTTAAAAAATATTAAATTAAATATTTTCTCAATATTTTAATTTAAGTTCTGGGTTTTTGAAGGGTAAGTTTTGAATATTGTAAAATTGATGTAAAATTATTGTGAAAATTATGAGATTGGTGCTGAATTTGTGAAATTGGCGTCGAATTGCAGTGGAGTTTTTGAAATTGATATTAAATTTTTGAAAACAAGATGTGGTCTTATTCTGAAAATTGTGAAATTGATGTTGAATTTGTGAAATTGGTACATAATTACTATGAAAATTGTGATAATTGATACTCTCATTTTTTTTTAAATTGGTATGTTGTTTTATTATGGAAATTGTGAAATTGATATTGAATTTGGTGGAATTTGTGGATTTAAAGCCATGAATTTGATGAAATTTGTTAATCTAAAAGTTATGAATATGTAATTGTTGTTGATTTTATAAAATTGGTGTGAAATTATTGTGGGAATTGTGAATTTGTATGGAATTTGTGAATTTCAAATTGTGAAATTGTTGGTGTAAACACCCAATCTATTCGAGGTCTTTTTTGGTTTTGTTAATTAATAAAAAAAATAATAAAAATAAAAAGATGAAAAAGGTGGTTGAATTGGCATAAAATTGGGTTAAAAATTTGAAATAAACTGAAAGAGATTGAATAGAACTAAAAGTCCAAAGAAAATTGAGATTACTATTCAGCTTTAGAGTCTATGGTTTTAAAGTTTATAAATAGATCCATAGATCAAAGACGACACACGAAAACTAAAGAACAGGGAGAAACAAAGAGAAAAGAAAAGCAAAAACTGTGTTTAGAAGGTTCAGAAGTGATCTTAAGATTTTTTTAGGATTTTTTTTGGTGATTTTTTTTTTTAAAAATTGCTGAAAATTTCATATTCCGGTTGAATTTTTTGGCGAGATTTGAATTTTTCAGTGACTTTTTCGATGTCGGTTGAATTTTCGGGCCAGTTACCCATCGGCATAACATTTTCAGAAATAGACCAATTTTTCAGTGAACAACCCAAATTTCGACAAAAATTTTCAAAATTTGATTAAATCTCAATCGATGTTCTTGGAGGGATAGAAAGAGAGGGAGTAGAGAAATTTTAGCAAAAACAGGCTGAAATCAACGTTATATACCTTCACAAAATGACATTGTTTTTGTGTTTAAAAAACCCAAGATCCACGCATTTTTCATTCGGGTGACCTAACCCGAACGTAACCCGAACTGTCAACCTGCGTTCCAACCAGACCCTCTACTGAGTCGGGCCAAGCCGATTCTACTTGAGCCACGTTTTCAAGCCGTTTTTCTTCCTCAAGTCGAGTCGAGTTGCGTTAAGGCCTTTTATTTATTTATTTATTTATTTATTATTATTATTATTATTATTATTATTATTGTTGTTGTTGATTAAATTAGAATTATTTGGTATTCCTTAATTTTTTTATTTTTTATTTTTATTATTTTTAATTTTTTTTTGTTTTTGTCAATGATTATTCTAAAATAAAATTTCCAAAAAAAATATTTTTGGAAAAAAGTTGAAAGTATCAATTTTTTTTAAAAATAAAATTTTTAAAATAAAAATTTTCAAAAGCATTTTGAGGAAAAGTTGAAAGTTTCAATTTTTCCTAAAAATAAATTTTTTAAATAAAAATAATAAAAAATATTTTTAGGAAAAGTTGAAAGTATCAATTTTTCTTAAAAAATAAAATTTCTAAAAATAAAAATTTTTAAAAGTATTTTGAGGAAAAGTTGAAAGTATAAATTTTTCTTAAAAATAAAAATTTCAAAAAAATATATATCTTGAGAAAAAGTTAGAAGTACCAATTTTTCTTAAAAATAAAAATTATCGAAAAAAATATTTTTAGAGAAAAGTTGAAAGTATCAATTTTTCTTGAAATAAAAACCTCCAAATGTTTTCAGAAAAAGTTAAAAGTATCAATTTTTTTTATATAAAAGTAATGAGTTTTTGTTTAAATGAAAAGAAAATAATTTATACCAAAAGTTGAATCATTATTCCTCTTATTTCATTTTATTTTATTTTTTTTCTTAAAAAATTTTTGATGTTAAATAATCCGACGATGGAGTCTCTGCAAGTGAAATAGTAGTTTTCTTGCATACTCTTAAGGTGAAAGAATTTTCTTAATTTTCTACCAAAAGTATTGGAGTTAATTAAGAATAATTTTCAATAATTAATTATTTGGTAAAAATTTTAAGGCTTATCGGATAACACGAAATTGAGCTAGTACCATCTTTTGGCAGGTGTTGTGAGGGTGCTATAACCTTCCTTACTCGTAACCAAACTCCCGAACCCTGTTTGGTTAATAGACTAGAACCTATTCTTTTAGGGACCCTTAAGCTTAGGTGTTCCTTGAAAGAATAGATTCCCTAGGTGGTCAATTGCACCTAAACAAAAAAGATTGGTGGCAACTCCTTAAGTCAATGTCTAGCGATAGATCCCTAGATCTAGACGTTATGACAGTTTGGTGACTCCATTGGGGACTGCCGAGAGTCAAGCCAGCAAATAAATTTATGTTATTCAAAAGCCTAATAAAATTGAACCTTTTTGTATATATTTTTTTATTCATTCATTCTATTTATTTACTTTGTTAATTCTAACATTCATATGCATGTGCATAATATGAGCTCTATACTCGAGCTCCGTCCCTTTAGGATGGAGTAAAGTACCTATTACTTTCATGAGGTTTTAATGCCTCTGCAGTGGCTAGCGAAATACTCTTACACAAATTAAACCTTTTTTTACTTGTAGCTTATAATGGGTGAGGATTGGGGGTGCCTTATTAGTCTGTAATGGACAATGATGTAAGGAGCAATTTGGAAACCTTTAGACTTTAACCTCGAACCACATATAGTGAACCTTAGAAATGCCTAACCTATAAATATAGCCATCTCATTCCTTTTAGAATTGACCAAAAGTATAGGATTCATTCTTCTTATTGTGTGTGGTATTTTAATTTATTTAGTTATTTATTTATTAATTCCTCTTTATTTGATGCACTAACCTCTTCTGTTATTCATGTTTGCATGAACCATACTTATATCATTAAGTTGCATAAAGAATATTTGCCTAAAAGACGGTCTTTAACAACGAGTTTTTCATAGACTCCACAAAACGACTTGTTTATTCTTCGTCTGTATTAGCTCATTGTGAGTCACCCACCGAAGTAAAGATCTAGTCAGAAAGGATTCAACTAAAAAAGAGGGATTGTTTACCAATCGGCCATGCTTCTACCTTGTCTCAAGAGACATCTATCCTCCTCAAACAAAATAATCTAGAGGATATGGTTGATATATGAAAAAAGATGAGTCCATTAAGACAAGAGGAGTTTTGCTAGAGATATGGGCATATAGCACACCTTCTTGCAGTAAATGTCGACAATCAATTAATTAGAGCTGCAGTGTAATTTTGAGATCCTACATATAAGTGTTTCATCTTCAATGAAGGTGATATGACACCAACCATTGAAGAGTATTCGACTTTGTTTGGTCTGCACCTCAAGGCTCATGACAAGATATATGTCAAAAAACACAAATCAAGATTTCGTAAGAATTTGGCCCATCTTATGGGGATAGATAAAGAGATTATGGATTTTCATACAAAGAAAAAATAAGAACAGGTTTGCCTATATTGAAAGTTTTTTCATGATTTTCTAGTACAACATGTCGATAAAGAACGGAGGTTAGATGTGTTTGCTTTAGCTATATACGGAATGGTAATTTTTTTGAA